CCGTCCACTGGCTGCGCTGACGCAAGGCTCCAGCAGCAATACAGGACAGCATGTAGTTATATATCGGAACGACGAGAAACACTACAACAATTTATCGAGCCTCTCAAAGAACTAATTCACGCGCACTTAAGACTAGCCGAGCGGGTCTGGGAAGACCTTCTACCCCAAGTATGTCACGTCGTTGAAGGCGACCAGAGACATACGTGGGAAGTTGCGCTGACAGATGCCATCTTCAACCAAGTTACAGCAGTGTATCACCAACCCAGGCTCAAGGTACCGTCTTTACTCCTGGGTGACGAGAGGAGTGTCGAGCTTATCAACATGGCACACTATTACGAGACTAATCACAATTTCTCTGTGGCTCGCTTTTCACCTGCATCATCTGGTGCGCACAGCTGTTTTCTCTTCGACTCAATGGAAACCATCATCCCACCACCAAATGTGCCACGAACACTGCTTCGCGCGTGTTATGATCTGCTACCAAAGTGTCTCGCTACCAGCAAGAACAACTCCAAGCCTCTCGGATTATTAAGAGCGACTGCCTCCAAGTACAATTGCCGCCATGAAGCCCTGTACATGATGGAAGAAGCTGTTATAGCACAACAAAATTTCTCAAGTTGTTCTTCATCGCATAACCCAAGAATATCAGGCGCGCTGATGTTCTCTGAATTAATGGAAGCTGATCTTCGTGCAAGAGCTATCAACGACAGTTGTACACATCCCATGTCATCGGTTGCGTTTGCGTTACGCTGCTATGGCTTCATACCCCAGGCTCAAGAAGTATTCTTCAAAAATATGATCGAAAGCCTCTCGCATGAGGCTCAACATGAGGTATGGGTGGAGACGAGTACCTCGGGTTTTTCATTTGAAGCTGACGTTTGGTGTGATGAATGGTTGGCCTGTGCCCGTGATATGTCCCAATGGGCACTTTTGGTAGATCTACTGAAACAACCTAGCGCCCGATCTCCGGTCTCCACAATACTGCAAACGCCAGGCCTGCTACTTGAAGCCGCCTGGAAAATTTACAAATGGAACGATGTCCGACAGGAATTGAGTGCGGGATCCCAACACTCGGGTCACAATGGACACGCGTTAAAGGTTACAGGTCCCAAAACAAAGTTACTCGAAACTCGACTAGCGATTGTTGATGGCCGCTACAGTGATGTAGAGCAATTGTGCAGTGAATGTATACAGTTGGCATTGAACTCATGGTGTAATCTGCCCAGACCGCGTTTAGGGCTTGCTACTCATGACCCATTACTACATCTCTTTCACGAGCTTATTGAAGTGCATGAGAGTGGTCAGCTCCTCAACGAAGCAATACAGCACTCTCGTGCTCTCACCTACCCAGATCTGCGCACAGTCGCGCACACTTGGAGAGATCGATTGCCAAATGAGTGGGATAGCATTTCAGACTGGGATGATGTCATGCGATGGCGGGCACACGTCTTCCAATCAGTACAAAAAGCATTTGTATCCTGGGGTACCGCTGATCATATATCAGAGCTCCACGACGCACCTTGGACGGTTGCCATGTTGACACGCGTAGCTCGCAAGCAGGGGCTTGTGCAGGCGATCCAGACAATCAAGCACGCCTCCGATGCAAATGGAACGTGCAATGACTTACGAATGAATGTATCCGATGCGTTTAGTAAATTGCGAGAGCGCATCCTGGCTTATGACACAAAAGACGGTTTGGTCAAGTGTAATAATGCGGGACATGAGGCGCGTACCCGTGCCCAGGCTGGGCTATATCTCATAAAAAATACTGCGATCGACCTGTTCAATACAGAACAGCGCTCTGAACTCCTCAGACTGAAGGCACTCTATCAAGGCGTCCTTGGACAGTATCGGGACGCCCACAGCACATTTTCTGCTGCAACAAACGCGTGTAACACATACGGCCGAGCATGGTACTCTTGGGGTGCATTGTGCGATGCGAATTCCGCTATTGAAGTGTCTTCAAATTCATTCAGACATTTGGTTCAGAACTCGTTCACATGCTACCTTGCGGCTGTTGAATGTGGCTATGCACATGCCTTCGTCAGTGGGATGGCTCGCATTTTGTGTTTGCTTCGACTCGATGGGCAACATCTTGACCTTGCGGAGAAATTCCATGCTCGAATACATAATATACCCATTACTGCATGGGTTCCATGGATTCCACAGCTATTAGTGATGCTTGATGTAAATCACATACAGCATGTTATCTGTTCACTCACTGCGTGTCTACCCCAGGCAGTATACTATTCTCTGCAGCCACAGCTTCTGCCGAACATTAATCGTGCATCCGAGCTATCAAGACTGCATGCTCATCAGGTCATAACTCATTTCCGTTTCAGCAGTGCAAAACTTGCCGCAGAAATGGATATTTTGAGCGGAGAAATTATTCTTGGCGTACGACCTAGTCCAACTGAGGAGCTCTTGCATCTCCTTTTCGTGATTCTGACTCAATGCCATAATACTTCCATTGAGGTGGAGTGCGAAGGACCGTGTGAAGTGTACCAGCTTCTGCACAAGGTTAGCGTGAGATATACTCATCAGCTTCAATATGATGTATTTGATAACCATGATATGTGGGGCAAGGTGCCGGCATCCGAACATGTTGCTTCAAAACTTGTAGAGCGTAATGCGATTCGAACCTCTGCAAATCATGCCGATCTGGCAAGTCCTCAATCGCTGACCGGGCGCCTTCAAAGTTGGAGTCGTGTCCTCGCAAGTCATTTAAATAGGGTTCTAACGTACAAGAATCCATATTCTATTTGTTCTACGTTATCCAAACTGCAATATGAGCAGGAAGATCCTGAGTGCTGCCAGTCTAGGCTTGCTGTAGCTCAGTTTCTAGAAATCCCTGGACAATATACAAACTCTTTTGGCACTCTTCGGCCTGAGTTGCATTTGCCATTACTCAAGTTTGAAGCTCATGCCAACATCAGAATCCGGCGCGGTAGAGTCATGCGGCGCCTAAGATTCGTCGCTGACGAGGGCCGCGTGCAAGCATTTGTATCTTCGGTGAAATCAAAAAACCATGCATTTGTCAACGAACGCGTATGCCAATTTTTTGGTATAGTTGATGTTGCACTCACGCAGTGTAGCGAAGCACAGCGGCGTCGTCTTAGGGTTTCACCGATGGGGTTGGTTAGATTTGCTTCAAACATACAGCTCACTGAAGATAGATGGTCTTGGACGAACCTCCACGAAGTCAATGAATCACGACTATCAATACTCGGCAAAACCCGAGATTCACTCGCTTCTCCAGGAGGAATGAGAGTTGAGCCGTTGGTCTCCAAGCTGCGTTCTCTTGATCGATCACTGCATGAAGCTGAAGATAGCGCGCGAAAGGCTTTATACAATAGAATTTGTAGCAATAATGTCGATGCAGACACGTTTTGTAAGCATGTGTCAGCCAGTCTGGAGGGTATAGAGGCAGTATGGACTTACCGGAGGACATTTGCTACGCAGCTTGCAGTTCCATCAATTTTGGGATTCATCCTTGCAGTTGGAAATCGTGCGGCCCACACCGCCATATTTTGTCAATACAGCGGACGTGTTTGTGCAGCAGATTTCCACCCATGTATTTCCTCTGCCTCGAGCTATCCAGAGCCGCATTTAAGCGAGATGCCATTTCGACTAACTCGCAACATTGAACGTGTGTTGCAGCCATTTCTCTTCAACGGAGTCTTCAAATCGTCATTAGGGTCCATATCATTTGCCTTGCAACACACCTTGGAACCTGGAGGGTTTCTCGAACCCTACGTCTATCTGTACCTTGGTGATGAACGAACCGATGTCAGCAGCCAAAATGTTCCTGCCCAATCGCATGTTCTGAAGAAGACGATACAAATAATCAAGAGTCGCATACAAAGCTCAGCTCCACCTCGGGATATTTCGAGCAGCGTTGTGCATGTTGAAAGTGGATTATCTAAACTCGTTGAACAGGCTCTGTCCCCGGATAATATAGCCACAATGCTACCACAGTGGCAGCCTTGGCTTTGACAAATTGCAGCCAGATACTGGTTGGTGATTTGCAGCCATAACTTGGGGATGCTCCACCACCTGACATGGCTCTTGCTCCTTGTCCCGCACGTTGAAATCATCCTAGTTGATCTGGACTGTTGGGTAGAAACCCGCGGACAATGATGCTTCGTAGCAGAGCGAATACTCCAGCAAGGAACAAGGCTCGGGGGGGTCGATCTCGAGCGAATCCTGGTCGCCTGCAGTTAATCGACTGTCTTTGAGCGCCATCGGAAAATCCCCAAGGGGGCATCGAGGTGGACAACGAGCGGGTTCGCCTTGCCCGGCCCGCGGGAATTCGGCGCGTTCTAGTTTAGGGCCCCTTCCGCCCCCTCAGCGCCCCCTCCGCGCGCTTAAGTGCCCCATGCCAGCGCCGGGCCTGGGAAACCCAACGAAGCTGAGTTTGCGACTTGCCCCCCTCCTTAGTCGCCCTTAAGAGCCCTGGGTCTGGCGCCATCTCTGCCCAGGGGGCCCGTAGGGCACGTGGGGCGGCGGCGGGTGCGAAGCGGGGCCGGGTGGGGCCCCTTCCGGGCCGCCGCGCGGCCGGTCGCCGCGGCTCATACTGAGCCTACTGAGTCGACTCAGTCTCAGTATGGGGGGCGGCTGCGGGTCGCTGGATTTCCCCGGGTCGGGGAGGATCGAGACAACAATTACAGTTAGCCTACCCTAGGAGGCGTGGCGGGGTCGCTCGGAATCGCGTAATATCGCTCGAGATCGCGGGCAGACCGCTCGGGATCGCCCGAGGTCGCTCAAGATCGCTCGAGGTCGCTCAAGATCGCTCCGGATCGCGCCGGTGATAAACGGCGACTATCGCGGTCAGAACGCGAGTATGATTATAGTGCGCTTGGCGATAAGCCAGCTAACTAGGGAGCCTACATTCCGCTCCTTGGGGCTATGCTGCCCTAACTTGGGACTATGCTAAGCTCCCTATGCTGGGGTGCTTATACTGGCCTATGCTGGCTATGCTAAGTCTGCCTTAAAACCTGGCTATGCTCAAGCTATACTATGCTGGCGCTGCATACTAGCATACTCGGATTCTAACAGCCGGACCGCTCCGGATCGCGCCGGGTCGCCGCCGGGGTCCCCGTGGCGCCGACCCTTAGTGCCGCTTATCGCGCGGGCTCCTATTCCCATAGCCTAAAAATCCCATACTTGCGCCGTGCCGAGAATGGAGCCACCAGACACTAACGGTAACGTCCGATAAACGATCAGATTCGAGCGCGAGCGGAATCGGAGAAAATCGATATTTGGTATTGCATAATTTCCACAAGAATGTGATTTTATTTCAGCACAAGTAAACGGCATACGCGGTAGCCACACAGAAAATGCTATCATTAGTAAAGATTTCACTAGCATAGGTGTCTGTATCACGGTCCCAAAAAGTCCGGCATCCCATACTGTGGACAGCAAGTTATTGTTTTACAACTGTTGGTTGTATGATTTCGTACCGTACGCCTTCGCCACGCTGCTCTCCAATCACGACTTGAACCATGTACTTGTAGCGAGGTAGATTGAGCGCTGCGAGGATGGGCACGAAATTAATTGGGCACACACTAGGATCTAACCTTTGAGCCTGTCTTTAACGTTATCGGCAATACTTTTCGTCTGTTGTTGAACCTGGTCTCCCTACTCCCGAAGTAAATAAGAAGTGCGACCCTAAATTTTACCTGATACGTTTGCCCTGCTAGAGCTTCAGTGAGAACCTCCCTCATGATCTCTTTCATCACGGTCGGTGACGCCCTCATGCCGTAGGCGGGTCGCAGCTGGGCTAGCAGCGCTTGGGTCGCCATGGTGGTGTATCCAGGAAGTAGCGAATGAATAATTAAGGGGGTCCAGTTTTGCTTTGGATGATCTTTATCCAGCAGGTGCACTGTCCGGCGACTGTGCAACCTCGCTGAGCCTGGTGCTACCTGGCACGTCGCTGTGACGCTAACCAGACAGACACCACAGACACAGAGGAGCGCTGTGCTCTCTATGTCTGCTTGGCAGTCACTCCTTCAGTTCGCTGTCTATAACTTGAAGACTTGAAACTGGATTAGAATGAATTAAGGAAGGGAAGGGAAGACTAGCAGGATACGCAGTAGGAGCGCAGTGGGGTAAGGTGCACTGCAACATCAAGATACCGTTCACTGAAGACGAAGATAGAAATCTCTCTATCTCTCTACCTTAGCTGGCCCCAGGACACCCAAAGCACCGCGGGGGCCACCCCGGGCCGGTACCAGTCCACCACCCGCGTCCGTAGGGACGCGCCGACGAGCCCGCCAGTACTCACGGGGCGCGCAACTAAATAAGAGGAGTAGGCTCCAGGGCACGACCGCGAACGAAGCCAGGACGGACGCCGTTCCCACAGCAACGTGCAGCTCCACAACAGGAAGAGGATCGAGAGTATAGAAGTCGCCGAGGGAACTCGCAGAATAGGTACAGAGACATAAAGTTCCCGAAACCAGAAGACCTTACTAAGAATACGTATAAACAGCATGTTTTTCGTAGTGCTTGTTAGGGGTATGGCCCCGCCCCCGCACGCAGCCTCCATGACGCGCCGCGCGCACCGAATGCCGGTCCCACGGCGCGGGGGACCTAGGTAGCTGGGGGTATTTCGGCTGTAGAAGCATATTTCCACGTCAGGGAGGCCCGCAGGATTGTCAGCCCTTGGTCCGTTGAGGCGTCCGCAGAGAGCGCTATTGAAGCTATACTCTAGCGACATGGTCGTCTCCGCCTCGTCAATTCGCGACATGAGCACTGATGAAAAGTTGCCGCGTGCAGATTCCGATGGATCACTGGCGTCCATCGACGACGCAACGAACCACGCGGAGTACAAGGTGCGGCGGTCGCGCCTTATCGGCATGGTGAATTGGTGGCACGTCGCTATGACTTTTTACCCGCGCGGCACCTCGTGTCTGAAAAACACGCACGGCGGGATTTCCGGCATTGCCAGCTCTCTATTCATAGGCACGTCTTGGTGACTCTGCTTTGCTATTTGGCCTCGCAAATCACATTTGATGTGCTGACAATTGGACCGAATGTGCCAATTGAGATTGCGCTGGGAGTCTTGCGGGAATTGCCCCCTGCTCTCTTGGACATGTCGTGGCGTTCAACTCTTCTAGGTCTTTGTCTTGTGTGGTATCTGGCACGGCACCACCATCCAGTTTACCTGGTTGACTTTGTGACCTTTGAGCCGCCAGAGAGCTGGCGATTGACTCATGATGAGCTGATGACCTGCATGCGGCGCCAACGATGTTTCACGGAAGAGAGTATCGCCTTTCTAAAGCGTATTCTGGACAAGTCTGGCACTGGACAGAGGACAGCGTGGCCACCGGGGATTACACGTTGCCTCCGAGACGAGTCGAAAACGGCGGATCAGTCAGTAGAAGCTGCGCGTAAAGAGTCTGAGACTGTGATATGTGACGTTGTTCAGAGTTGTCTACAGCGCACTGGAACTTTGCCGACTGAGGTTGACATCCTAATAGTGAACTGCAGCCTCTTCTCTCCGACACCGTCCCTTTGCGCGATGATAATGAATCGCTTCAAGATGTGCGAGAATGTCATGGCATACAACCTGAGCGGTATGGGTTGTTCTGCAAGTCTCATTGGAATCGAGCTTGCGCAGAATGTGCTCCGCTCACACCCAAATAAGATTGCGCTTGTTGTCTCAACGGAAAACCTCACCCAAAATCTCTACCATGGTAACGAGCGCAGCATGCTTCTCCAGAACACTCTCTTTCGCTGTGGCGGTGCCGCAATGCTTCTATCAAACAAGTGGCGCGATGGTCAAAGAGCTAAGTTTAAGCTGCTTCATGTTGTACGTACCCAGAGCACAGGCAACGAAGCATACGACGCTGTTTACGAGTGTCAAGACGCCAGCGGCGAACATGGGGTCAAACTTGACCGAAACATTGTGAACATTGCCGGCCATACCATGGAGAAGAATTTCACGATCCTAGGGCCGTATGTTCTCCCTTTATCGGAGCAGATGCGTGTCGCGTATGCCCTCGCCAAGAAAAAACTTTGCAAGTACCTTTGCAAGGCCCTACGACTCCATAAGGAAGAAAGTCCATCCAGGATGACTGGGATTCTCTCCCGCTGGATTCCTGCCAAGATTCCTGCTTATGTCCCTGACTTCAAGCGCGGCATTGACCATTGGTGCATCCATGCCGGCGGCCGTGCTGTCGTTGATGGCGTTGCCAAGAATCTCAAGCTGCAACCTGAGCACGCCGAGCCAAGCAAATATGCGCTATTTCACTATGGAAACACATCTTCTTCCTCCATCTGGTACGAAATGGATTATGTTCGCAAAGTGCAAAACCCTAAAAAGGGTCATCGTATTCTTCAGGTCGCCTTTGGCAGTGGTTTCAAATGCAACTCGGCTGTCTGGCTCTGCCTTCATGAGTAGCAGGGACTGCCTCCACTGGATCATCTTTATCGTGACCCCTTCAAGCGTAATAAATACCTGGACGCGGGGATGTTGGCAATTTCAAGTACTGGCCTCCCCGCGCCCCCCCCGGTTTTCTTAAGTGCCGCGGAATAGCGCCCCGGAATGGGCCGACCGCTGGGCCGACTAGCAATGGCCGCATATATAACGGCACTCAGGGACTTAATTCCCGCCTCCGGGGGAAACAGCAATGCCGCTGGCTTCGCCAACTCTCTCTGGCCCCTGGAGGCGTCCAGCCAGGACATGGACAGGACATAGCATCAAGCATCATCCAAGATAACGCAACGCGTCTATCGGAAAACCTGCAAGCCGAACGGATCACCAAATCACAACACAAACTTTACCAATGGATACGGAAAAGAAAAAGTATATACCGTGTTAGAATCCGAGTATGCTAGTATGAAGCACCAGCTTAGTATAGCATGAGCATAGCCAGTATAAGGCAGACTTCAAGTTAGCATAGCCAGCATATAGGCCAGTATAAGCGCCCCAGCATAGGGAGGATAGCATAGTCCCGAGTTAGGGTAGCATAGCCCAAGGAGCGGAATGTAGGCTCCCTAGGTAGCTGGCTTATCGCCAAGCGCACTTTGATTGTGCTTAATCACACTCGCGTTCTGACCTCGATAGTCGCCGTTTATCACTTTCCCCAACAGCCCGGCGGTTTCAATCTGAACCTACGCTTATTTACGCGAGCTCGGACTCTCTGGGTAGCTGTCCACTTCAACATGGCCCCCGGGGCTGGATGGAGCTCGTTCCGCCCACTCTTTTGCTCCAGGCCCCGCGGGCGGCCCCGCGGCCGCCGCCAGCGGCAGAACCTCCCCCAGAAACCCCCCCCTGCGCCGGGCGGGACCCAGGCGGGACCCCAGGGAACCCGAAACGCCCCCCAAATTTTGGGGTCGGCGGCTGGGGGCTTTATTCAGGCGCCGGGGGGGCGGGCGGCCCCAAAACTAGAACGCGTCGAATTTCCCACGGGCTGGGTCCTGCAATGAGGATAAGTCTCCAATCCGAGAACTCCGTGCGGAGAACTCCGTCCTATCGTATATTCCCTTGTACCCCGTCGCGGCGGACGAAGCTATGCTGAGTCTGTTCTGCAAGTCTGGTTAGGTAGAATCGCCAAGTGTATTTCAGATTGCACCACACTCGCATTCTGATGGCCGGCGATAGATCAAGACAGAGCACAGACACCTAGAGTAGAGACAAAACCCAAAATAGTAGCAGGCGCAAACGAAGCGCAAAACACCGACGATGCTATTCCCTTCTTCCAGGTGCGCTGGGATAAATGCTTACATACTTGCATGCGCCCAGTAATATATAGGCAAGTTTGTTTGATATATCTCACGATGAACAGGAGCAAGCTGCATCGCCTGCAAATGGCAATAGTTAGACGCAAACCTGTTGGCAAGAAATCAGCATGGAGGTATGCGGAAGTTGAATGATCCTTTCTCGTTCTTTTCACACCGTTCGGTGAATTGCATAGTATTCGCTTATAGTTCGTGGTATACTTTCCATCTGCTTGTCCACCAGGTGTAAAAAATATCCAGACGATGAGTATCGTGTTTGATCGCAAGGACTGTTGCGCGTGGCACAGCCCCAGGGCGTCACCATGCAGGCTTTTTTTCGTCCAGAGACATCGGTTCCATGTTCAAACTGAACCTTCTGTCCTTTGTGGACCTGATCATAAATGTCTATACCATGGAGAAAATAATTGTCGTGGCCATTCTCTGGCGAAATGAAACCATATTGCTTTGTCTGATCAAACCACAAGAGCGTCCCAGCCAACCGCTCACCGCTACCCTCGTCCCCCATATACTCTTCAAGAGTATGATCACCACACATTTGTGGCGTCTTGGCCCGTCCTTCATCCTTAAAGACATGGGTATTGGCCAGAAGGTCCTTGGGGTCTGGGACGGGCAATTCCATTGGAATCTTGGCTTGCTGCAGATTCTGTGATGGGGCTACATATATTCTAGAGATGCGAGGCGGTGGTGGCCATCGCTTCGTGGCTGAAAATTTTGGTTGTGAAAGAGGAACCATGGCTGGGGGCGAACAACCAATAGCTTGCTTGGCATCTGTACCAAGGTCATTGACTTGGATCAGCTGCGACGCTAGGAGCTGCCTTGACTCACCACAGGAGAATCTGACTTTGTAGCGATTTATGGCCGTATTGAAAGCCTCCGCAAAGCCTTCACGATCATTGAGGTCTGAACGCAGCATCCCAGATACCCGGACCGTTGAGCCTACAAGGCCGCCAGCGGGACCGCGGTAAGCTTTATCGAGCATATCTATCGATGATGAGCCTGGCATTTCCGACGACGGGGAGATATCATTAGTGCGACCTGGGAGTTTCCCATTGCACTGGCTTCGAACTGCGTCCTTTTGCAGCCCTGAAATAGATAGGCTGTGACCATGCTCGGAAGAATCTGTTGGCACTCTCCTAATTGTGAGCTGAAATGTGTCGCTCTCGTCGACCTCATCGTGTTTGTTTGGCCCAGTTCGTATAAGTCAATCGCAGAAATTCGCGGCTGTCGTGAGCAGCTTTTTCCTCCATATCAGGTGGCCTGTTTACGGCGGCACTTCCAACACCTTACAACTCGCACCCACACGACGAGGCGGGCGTCGCTCTTCCCTGAATTGAGTGATGTCCCCAGCAGTCCAGTAGTGGGTCTGATGCAAATTGGCTACAGCTGTAGCTCTACGGTACAGATGGTACAGCACTTCGATTGCTAAAATGAGCGTTGGGGCAATCGGCGACCAATCAATCGATGGACCGAGCAATCGATCGACGGCCGAGCAATGTCGTGAGATTTTTCAACATTCGCCTCTCTGCCCTCCAGACGCCGTCCAAAGCTCCGGGCCGGCGGCCCGGCGGCGACGTCTCCGGCCGAGGCCGCGACGACCCAGCCCAGGCCGGACGAGCCGGCATCGCTGCGCCGCGCCGCGTCGGCTGGCCCGAGTCGAAGCCCGCCTTCCTCGAGGGCGTCGCGGCGGCCGCGAGACGCTCGGGCCGCCGAGGCGCCGCGCGACCGCGACCGGTAGCGCCTCGCGCTCCCGCCGCGCCGGGATCTCCGGCGCGCGTTCGCGGGGCCTGCGGGGAGCCGGGCGCGGCGCGGCAGCCTCTACGCGGCGCTCGTCGGCATCGAGGGCGTCGCCGCCGCCCGCGTCCCGGCGGACGGCCGCCGGGGCGCGCTCGCGAAGACCTCCGGCGTCGCGCGGTGCGCGGCGCGCGGTCCCGCGAGGCCGACGGCGGCGCGGCGCCGCCGCGGGCCCGCGCGCCCGAGGCCGCGGCCGGGGACCTGGCGCCGCGCCGGGCGCGGGACCTGGACCGTGCGGCCGCGCGCGCGCGAGCTTCAGCACAGCGGATATTTAGGAGAAGTCGAGGCCGAATTCCGCGGCGAGCTCCTGGGCGGGGTGGAGCTCCGGGACGTCGTAGCCCGCGTGCGCGAAGTAGCCGCGGGCGTCGGCGGCGCTGACGCTCTCGAGGGCGCGGCCGAGGGCCCACTCGGGTTCGGAGCTGGCGACGTCGCGGTAGCGGATGAGCCAGGCCTTGGTCTGAGCGAAGGCCTCCTCGATGGGGTTGAGGTTGTTCGCGTAGGGGGGGAGGTAGACGAGGCGGACGCCGTAGGCCTCGCACATGGGCCGCACGTAGCGGGAGTGGTGCACGGGCGCGTTGTCGAGGACGAGGACCGAGTTGGGCCCCGGGAAGGGGCTCATGAGGGGCAGGATGACCTCGGCGAGGACGAACAGGAACTGCAGCGCGCTGACGCCCTTGGCGGCCGTGATGTGGTAGCCGATCATGCCCTGCAGGGACAGGACGCCCGTCGCCGAGTACGACGACGACCGCTGGAACGAGGAGGTGACGGAGGTCCGCGTGCCGACGAGGCCGTAGCCGAACTTGCGGTGGAGGCCCCGCGGGTCCTTGCGCGTCTCGTCGACGAAGACGAAGTACTCGCCGGGCAGGGAGGAGTACACGTCGATGAAGGTGCGCTCCTCCTCGGCGTCGCGCCTCTCTGCGAGCTGCTTGAGCACCCGCCGCGTGTATCCGTGCCTTTTCATCGTGGCGAGGATGACGCCGATGGAGTAGCGCACCTCGAACGCGAGCCACAGCACAGTCTTCATCTCGTCCAGGAATAAATCCGGGGAGTAGTGGAGCGCGGTGCGGAGCTCCTGCCAGTGCTGTGGTAGCATCGAGCCCTGTCGCCGGCGCGTCCCCTCCCGGGGCGTCGCGACGTCGCCCGTCTCGCGCCAGATCTTGACGATCCGACGGATCGTCGCGACGCTGATGGTGCGGAACCGGCCTTGCACAGACAAGTGCCGCTCGATTTGCGGCGCCTTCCAGTCGTAGTCGATCATCAGGCGCACGATCATCCAGCGCAGCACCTTGCCGTGCTTGCCGTAGGCGACGGCGTTCCGGCGGCGGCGTCTCGCGCCGTAGCGGAGCGCCATCGGCCGGCGCGTGGCCGGCGCCCAAGGCGCTTCCGCTCGGCACGGCCTCGAGGTGCATCGAGGGAGCAGCCCAAAAACACGTACCGTGACGCGCGGGCCGGGAGCGGAGACCTCTGAGCCCAAGCTTTCGACGCACGGCAGCCCGCTCTGGTGGTCGGAGTGGCCTTCCATGACCCCTAGGCGTAAGCCTGACCGTCGGTGCCCCCATCGGAGGTGGTTCTGGCGTCGACCAAATTCCACCGCGCGGGCCCCGGGCCTCGTCTCCGCGGGGCCGCCGCGGCGTACAAGTCTGTGGCCGCGACGCGCGCCACCATCGATGGCGCTGGATACGCCCCTTGGTTTTGGGTGCGACGTCGGTGTGACGGCTTGGGTAGGCCATTTACGTTGCGTAAGATGTACCACCCCGCTCCGCACGCAGGGGTGCCGCCGATCGACGTCGTGCACATCGCCTTCGGGTCGTCGTGCGAGATCGCCATCATGATGATCGGCGACGAGCTCACGGTCGACTTCGCAACGCTCGGCGACGACGTCTGCGCGCAGCTCCAAGCCTACGTCAACTAGCAGCCCCATCTCACCTCTCCATTTTCACCGTGACTGGCAGTCTAGGTCAGGGACACTGCCATTTCCCCTCAAGAGTTCGGGGTTGTGAACACCATTATCCCCCTCTATGAATTAGTCGCTACCCCACCTAACTGTGCTAGATTCTCTGCGGGCAACAGTGGTCAGAGCCCAACGAGCCTTTTCTCCTTCAAGTTATTGTTGAGGCCGGTTTAATAATTCAGACCTCGCTACAGGCCGTTAACCAGTTACCATGTACCGCAGTGATTGGTCGTCTGATTTCGTATATGCGAAGTCACTCCTGTTCATGCAGCCATGCGCATCTTCCCGGACGCCCAAGTCGTCGTCAAAAAGGTCCGAAGACTGGTTTCTCAAGTCGATCCGTGGGCTTGGCACAAGGTCATTTTCAGGCAGCCTCGGCCCGAAAGACAAGGAGGAGCTCCACAGGCGGCTAGCTGCGGCGGGACGCGAGTTCAATAAGGGACACATCTCTGAAGACGAATACCATAAGTATGTCAATGCGCTGCTGCAAAAGAAATGTGGAAAAGAGAATTCCGATTCGACGCAGTTCCTGCGATTGAGGCCACACTCTGCGCCGCATTCTTGTCACGTGCCCGCGCCCAAGCAGCAAGATGAATTCGCCCGGCCAATGCTGACAAAAACACTTCCGCGACGTGCTCCCATTTACGATGAATCGAAATACCAGAAATCAGTGCGCGTGCGTTCTGCGCGTGAACGCTCAAGAGCCCTTGCGTGGATGCAAAAGGTTGCACACCGCGAAGAGGATGTAGACTATAATTATCAGCCAGTGTGTGACCGCATCCAGGGGCCAGCAGCACGTGAGGTGCTGGTCAAGGGTGCACCACGTGGAACAAATGAAGCAGCAATCAAGGAGCTTTTACAGGGCTTTGGCGCCATAAGCGCCATTGAAGCTGGCAAAATTTCCCTCGGCGAGCGAACGTTTACTGTTCGTTTCCACTGCCCCGATCACGCGCAACGTGCGGCACACGCGAACAAGTGCACCCTCTTCACTAGTGTCTTGGTTTCTCCGATCCCAAGGGACAGTGATACAACGACCTTGCGCCGCATTTGCAGTCGCTGGGGGAAAGTGCTTTCGGCGACCGAGGTATGTGATACTAGTGCGCTATATCGCTCGGCTATTGTTTCCTTTGAGTCCAAGGTGGCTGCAGAGCAGGCAATCGGTGAACACATCATCGAAGCCTCTTCGGAACTTCGCATTACTGGAATTCCCCCTGACGCCAAGGAGGATCATATCCGTGGAGCGCTTGGAGGAGTGCGCGGTGGTGTGACCAACGTGTCTTTCTACCCAAATTTCAATTCCACCTCACGGAGTGCAGTAATTGCATTTGCATCAGTGCAGCTCGCACGGCGGGCTGCTGGTGTACGCGAATTGGCCATCACAGGGCGTGGTGGGGCCATCTCTGCGCTCTCAAAGGCCCAAGCAAATGCACACAAAGGACATGCAGCGCCCTGGCACTCAACATTAAAGGAACGCCCCTTTGCCAATTATGAGATGCACTCATACCAATTCGGCCATCAACCTTGCACCACACGGGAGTTTAAAAAACGCGCTGCCGGGACGTACGGAGTAGAGAACCGAAACAAGGACCTTGCTGGCTCTAGCATGCGTTATACAACGAGGCGTGTCAAAGTCAAGGCAGAAGTGTGCACGACTACTTTGAGTGTATCTGCGTACCCGTGTACAGTGACCGTTACACTTTCAAAAACTTCAAAGTAGATATCTGCGTACGCATTATCCCGGTCTACAAAAGGGGCCAATGCGGGTGACCCCAGGGCGGCCGCAGCGCGAGCGGGACAAACCAGGAATGCAAACTGGAGTGGCGGGTCTATTTTGCGCTTCAGGCAGACCACGCCAAAGCAGGTTGAGCTAAGACCCAGCGCGCCGAGGCGACCTTGCAAGCCCGGAACCCCGAATTGGCCTGTGATGCCCCCCCCCCCCCA